AAAAAAAAAAAAAAAAAAAAAAAAAAAAGCCACAGTCCTTGCCCTCATGGGACCCCACGGCTTTATGGTAGCAGCATATGTAGAAACGAATTTTTCCTGTAGTAAATATCATTAACCAGTGTTTACTACATACACTCCGAGATTCATCCCAGTGCATTATCAGGATCAACTCATCTAATCCTCACAGCAGTCTTGCAAGGTAGGCACTATTCCCGTCCCCACTTTATAGATGAGAGAGTTGAGGCGCAAAGCGACAGCTTACCCAAACTTACACAGCTAACACGTGGTAAAGCCGGATCCAGATCCAGGCTGTGCGACTCCCTCACCACTGTCACACGCTGCCTCTCCTTGTGCCCCAAAGCACAGAGGAAGGGACAAATAACTTTGCCTAAGGAAGTCAGGGAAGGCTTGACAGAAGAGGCGAATTTGAGTTGAGGGTTTTTTTTTTTTTAATTTTTTTAATGTTTATTTATTTTTGAGAGAGAGAGAGAGTGAGAGAGAGAGAGAGGAAGACACAGAATCTGAAGGAGGCTCCAGGCTCCGAGCTGTCAGCACAGAGCCCGACGCGGGGCTCGAACTCACGAACTATGAGATCACGACCTGAGCCGGAGTCGGAGGCTTAACCGACTGAGCCACCCAGGCGCCCCTGAGTTGAGTTTTAATGGATGAATAGAATCTGCTGAGTCAAAAGGAACAGGAGAAACATTCTAGTAAGAAAAGTCAGTGCGTCAAAAGTCAGAAGCATGCAATTACATGACATGGGAAGGGTGCTGTGGCTTGACAAGAGGAGACACGGGGACCAGGAGGCATGAAGCCTGAGGGGGGCAGAGGTCAAGTCACACAGGGCCCTGTGGGCCTCATGAAGCCCTGGTTTGGTCCTGTAGGCAGAGAGGAGCCCCTGAAGGGCCACGAGCTGGGCAGTGGCTTGCTCCCCCTCCCCTTCCCCACTCCCACTCCCGTGGGCCACTCTCTCCCCCTAGAGTCCCTCTGGCTCACAGCTGTGCCCTTCTCTCTCTCCCTGACCCTCTGTGTTCTGCAGGGGCCGTGAGGGCCTCAAGCATTTTCCCAATCCTGAGTGTGATTCTGCTTTTCATGGGTGGACTCTGCATCGCAGCCAGTGAGTTCTACAAGACTCGACACAACATCATCCTGAGTGCCGGCATCTTCTTCGTGTCTGCAGGTAATGGCCACTGAGCTGCGCTGGGCCAGAGCCCAGGCCTGCCTGGGGGGAAAAGGCTGAGGCTGGGGTGCTCAGCGACGGGGAGGACTCGAAAGAGAGGGGGGAGGGGGAAGAGGGATCTCCAGGACTGGCAACAGGTCATGTCATAGGGGAGGTGGGTTGTGCTGGGGCTCCCGCCCCATAACAACGTCCAAGCCCCCCGCCGCCACGGAGTCCCCCAGGAACATCCCCAGACCCCGTCTCTCAGCCCAAATGGCCCATCTTCCTCCTACCTTTTAGAAAAGGGCCCAGATCCCAGGTCCCTCTCAGAATACTGGGCCTGTCCTCACTGCCCTGTCCCCTCACTGTCCCACTGGGGTGCAGGCAGGCACCTAAAACCACCTCCCTCAGCCCCATTACAGGACTAGTCACATTGCTACAGATGCCAGAGAAAGAACACGGCTGTGGGATGAGCCATTTAACAAGAATGAGGAACACTTAAGTAGTCCTTACCACACCCCCGCCCCCAAGAGCCTCACAGGTATTAAGTCATTTAATCAATCACTCCCACAAGAGCCAGTCCTATCCTTCTCCCCATTTTACAGATCTGGAAACTCTAAGGTTACCTTGCCAAGGGCTTTGATTCCAGGCAGTCTTGGCTCCAGGAGCCAGTCTGAACCTCCTGCAATCCCAGCTTCAAATCTCTGTGCAGCCTGGAGCAAGTTACCTAACCTCTCTGTGATCCCTTTCCTCAGTTTGCAACCCCCTTGAAAAGCGCTCAATAGTGAAGGCAGGTAGCAGACGCTCAATAAACAGTGTCCATTAACTCAACGCGCTGTAGAATGCCTCTCTCTTCTCCCCCTCCACTCCCGCATCTTTATCTCCAACTGCCCTCCCCTTTGTGGCTCTCTTCAGTGGCGTGACAAAAATATTAAGGTGATGCTTGCCTGTGTCACAGTAGAGCACTGACCCTGAAAACTCCGGATCAGGGAGAGCCCGCCCAGCTGCCCCTGCCCTTCGGTTCCCCCCTCCCCAGGGCCTGATACCCTGCTGGAAACT